AAGCTGCCGCCTGCAGTGCCGGCATCCCATATGGGCACCGGTTCTAGTCCTGGCTGCTCCACTTCCAATCCAGCTCTCTGCTATGGCCTGGGGAAGCAGCAGAAGATGGCCCAAGTTCTTGGGCCCCTGCACCTGTGAGGGAGACCTGAAAGAGGCTCCTGGCTCCCGGCTTCGGATCAGCACAGCTCCGGCTGTTGTGGCCAATTGGGGAGTGAACCAGCGGATAAAAAGACTCCTCTGCCTCTTTCTCTCTGTGTAATTCTGACTTTTAGATAAATAAATCTTAAAAAAAAAAAAAAAAAGAAAAAGGAATGCACTCCATGCAAGGGAGTGAGGGACACATAGCCTTGGATTCTCCAGTTCTCAAGTGCATGCTGCCAACGGATGGAAAAAGCAGCGGCAAGAAAGCTCTGGGGTTATTTATTGGCTCAGCACAGGAAGGATAATCACTCCATGCAGGACCTCTGTCCTCAGTGAGTTGTACTCAGAGTTAACTGCAAAACTAGTTCTCAAACAGTTGTGTGTGTGTGCGCAAATTGTTGAAATCTTTACTTAGTACAGAGTTGGTCTTCTGTGTACAAAGTTAATTGAAAATGAATCTTAATGGAGAATGGGACTGGCAAAGGGAGAAGGAGGAGGAGGAGGGGTGGGAGGGCTGCTATGGTGGGAAGAATAACTTTATTCCTAAAGCTGTACTAATAAAATTTGTATTCCTTAAAAAAAAAAATTCACAAAGGAATTGCCCAACTGATTAGACTTCCAAGCATAAAACTTAACAAAACAATAATGAATCAGGGCCTGCACTGCAGCTCACTAGGCTAATCCTCAGCCTGTAGTGCCGGCACACCAGGTTCTAGTCCCGGTTGGGGCGGTGGATTCTGTCCTGGTTGCTCCTCTTCCAGGTCAGCTCTCTGCTGTTGCCCCAGGAGTGCAGTGGAGGATGGCCCAAGTGCTTGGGCCCTGCACCCACATGGGAGACCAGGAGAAGCACCTGGCTCTTGGCTTCAGATCGGTGCAGCACGCTGGCTGTAGTGGCCATTTAGGGGGTGAACTGGCAGAAGGAAGACCTTTCTCTCTCTCTCTCTCTCTCTCTCTCTCTCTCTCTCTCTCTCTAACACTGCCGGACAGGGGCCGGTGCCGTGGGTTGATCTTCTGCCTGCAGTGCCAGCATCCCATATGGGCACTGGTTCTAGTCCCGGCTGCTCCTCTTCCAGTTCAGCTCTCTGCTGTGGCCCGGGAAAGCAGTAGAAGATGGCCCAAGGGCTTGGGCCCCTGCTCCCACATGGGAGATCAGGAAAAAGCTCCTGGCTCCTGGCTTCGGATCGGAGCCGCTCCAGCCATTGCAGCCATTAAGGGAGTGAACCAACAGAAGGGAGACCTTTCTGTCTCTCTCTCTCATTGTCTGTAATTCTACCTGTCAAATAAATAAATAAAATCTTAAAAAAAAAAAAAGATAACAGACAACGGGGCTGGTGTGGTGTAGCAGGTAAAGCTGCTGCCTGTTAACACTGGCATCCCACATGGGCACTGGTTCAAGTCTAGGCTGCTCCACTTTTTTTTTTTTTAAGATTTTTAAAATTTTACTTGAAAGATCTCTGTCCCCCCTCCAACTCAAACAAATAAATCTTAAAAAAAAAAAAAAAAAGATAACGGACAAGAGTAATTTCAAAAACATCACATAAAATGGTTAAGAAAAAACAGTGAATTTCTAATAGGCAGTGAACAAAAAGGTTACTAGCAGAAAATATACCTATGAGAAAGCAATGGGGAAATGACCATCATTCTTTATAACATAAGAGACAAAGAGACAGAGCTCCCATTTGCTGGTTCACTTCTGGGCCGGGCTGAAGCTGGGAACTCAGTCCAGGACTGCCTTGTGGTGACAGAGACCCAGACCACTGCTGTCTCTCAGCGCCCACAGAACTGGAGTCAGGGCTAGAATCCAGCCACACTGGTAGTAGATACAGGTGTCTTAACCAATGCACCAAATGCCTGCCCCAGGAATGATTTTTATTTCATTGTTCTAAAGGGCAATTTCCACCAAAATGTAAAATGTGCATGCCAGAAGTACTGCGTCTAGGAATCTCATATAAACACAGGTGTGAGTGCAAAAAAGACAAAAACAGTTACTGCAGCATAATCTGGAGTGAAACTATAAACCATCTAAATGGGAAATATATAGACCTAAAAAAGAAATGACAGATTTGTTTATGCAGACTTTGAAAGTCTGATAATTATAAGTGAACAGAACTGAAGAATGAGATACATACACATATACTTTTAAACTTAATATGTGGGGCTGGCGCTGTGCCGTAGCAGGTAAAGCCACTGCCCGCAGTGCCAGCATTCCATATGGGCACTGGTTCAAGTCCCGGCTGCCCCAATTCCGATCCAGCTCTCTGCTATGGCTTGGGAAAGCAGTAGAGGATGGCCCAAGTCCTTGAGCCCCTGCACCCATGTGGGAGACAGGAAGAAGCTCCTGGCTCCAGATCAGCGCAGCTCTGGCTGTTATGGCCATCTGGGGAGTGACCATCGGATGGAAGACCCCTCTCTCTCTGCCTCTGCCTCTCTGTAACTCTGCCTTTCAAATAAATAAATAAATCTTTAAAAATAAACAATATGCGTAAGTATGTATGCTCCAGTTTCATGCAATAAAGTTTATATACAAATGCACTTATGCATCAAACAAATCTGCAAGGAACACACCTATCGACAGTAGACCCCTCTCTCTCTGCCTCTGCCTCTCTGTAACTCTGCCTTTCAAATAAATAAATAAATCTTTAAAAATAAACAATATGCGTAAGTATGTATGCTCCAGTTTCATGCAATAAAGTTTATATACAAATGCACTTATGCATCAAACAAATCTGCAAGGAACACACCTATCGACAGTAGTTAGCATGGGGGCTACCTGCATTTCCTGTAGCACACACTGAGATTCTGTTAAAATGTGTATCTACATATTTACTGCTTTTAGGAATATAAACACTCACAAGCATGGTACAGGTTCTAATAAGCTGACATTTATGTAACAAAAAAGAAAGGACATGCAGGCCGGCACTGTGGCTCACTTGGCTAATCCTCCGCCTGCAGCGCTGGCACCCTGTGTTATAGTCCCAATTGCTCCTCTTCCAGTCCAGCTCTCTGCTGTGGTCCAGGAGGGCAGCGGAGGATGGCCCAAGAGCTTGGGTCCCTGCACCCGCATGGGAGACTGGGAGGAAGCACCTGGCTCCTGGCTTCGGATCGGTGCAGCGCCGGCTGTGGCGGCCATTAGGGGAGTGAACCAATGGAAGGAAGACCTTTCTCTCTCTCTCTCACTAACTCTGCCTGTCAAAAACTAAAAAGGAAAGGACATATACATGTTGTATAGATACACAGGAAAGCAGTAATAGTTATTTTATAAGAAGAGGGGCTGAAGATTCAGGGTTGAGAGGGCGATTTTTCATTTAGGTCCTTCTATATTGCTGGGGTTTTTCTGTGCATACAAGTATTCGCTGTTAAAAATTTTTATTGCAGGGCCGGCGCCGCGGCTCACTAGGCTAATCCTCCGCCTTGCGGCGCCGGCACACCGGGTTCTAGTCCCGGTCGGGGCGCCGGATTCTGTCCCGGTTGCCCCTCTTCCAGGCCAGCCCTCTGCTGTGGCCCGGGAGTGCAGTGGAGGATGGCCCAGGTGCTTGGGCCCTGCACCCCATGGGAGACCAGGAGAAGCACCTGGCTCCTGGCTCCTGCCATTGGATCAGCGCGGTGCGCTGGCCGCAGCGCGCCGGCCGCGGCGGCCATTGGAGGGTGAACCAACGGCAAAAGGAAGACCTTTCTCTCTGTCTCTCTCTCTCACTGTCCACTCTGCCTGTCAAAAAATAAAAAAATAAAAAAATAAAAAAAAAATTTTTATTGCAGTTGAAAAAAGTGCGGTGGGGGATGGACATCTGGCCTAAAGGTCAAGCATGGCCATCCACATCTCAGTGCCTTGAGCTGTTGTCCCCGCATCTGTATCCCGGCTCCACCCAGATGCAGTTTCCAGCTAACGTGCACGCTGGGAGGCGGCAGTGCTGCCCCAGGGACTCGGTTCTTGCCATGCAGTGGGAGATCTGGATTGAGTTCCTGGCTCTGGCTCTGGTGGGTTCAGACCAGGCCGTTGTGGGCAACTGGGGAAGAGAACCAGCAGGTGGATGGCACTTCGCCTTTCAAATCAACTAACAAAACCCCCTGCAAATGACATGAAAGAGGAAGGGCCATGACTTGAAGCATGTGGAGACATTCTCGGTGGTGTCGTAACAGAAACGCAGAACCCCGAGTGTACATTCAGTAGCAGCTAAACTACACAAAGCAGAACTGGAAGTGACAAAAGACCAGACTGCGCTCACGGGCGGCTGCCTCTAGGGGATGGCATTCTTTTTCCTTACACACACGCTTTAAAACATGATTTTTGAGATGGTGATGCACAGCCGTGAGGACCCTGCCAGGCTGCAGAGCGCCCACGGGAGAAGGCAGAGGCTCAGGGAACCCCACGGGAGGGCCCCGCCCCATCCTGACTCAGGCACCCCGTCTCGGCGGCTCCAGAGAGCCACCCCGACACAGAGGCAGCCGGCTTCGGCGGTTCAAATCCACCCCCATCTCCTCGGACAACGACTTGCGCCTCACCGGGCCGACGGCCCTGCCCACACCAGAACGCTGTGGGGGGAGGAGGGACAACACACGGAAAGCGCTCAGCAGGGGCGGCCACTCGACCTGCACGCCAGGCTGCGGGGAAAGCGGGCCGGCTCCCTCCCTTCCGCCTCGCCCTCGCGCCACTTCCGGTCACAGGGCCGCGGGATCCCGCAGCGCCGCCTCGGCAGGGGGAGAGGCCCGAGGCTCCGGGGTTCCGCCTGCAGTCAGCTCCCGCCGGCCGCGCCCAGTCCCTCGGATTCCCTGCCTGGTGCTCCGAGAAGACCCCTGAGGATGGGAGGCCAGGCGTGGGGTGGTGGGCGGCCGCCAGCCGCAAGGACAGGGTGGACACTCACCATGTCAGACAGATCCAGGGGCTCAGCTTCGCGAACACACAGCCTAGTCTCTTGTCTTTCTGCGCCTGCGCAGCACGTCAAAACAGACAGGTTCGAGGGCCTATCAGGAGCCAGCACGGGGCGGGCGGGGAGCGCCGAGCTATTTTTTTTTATTTAAGACTTTTTATTTATTTGAAAGGCAGAATTTCACAGAGGGACATACAGGGAGATTGTCCAATCGCTGGTTCACTCCCCAAATGGCCTCAACGGGCTGGGCCGATCAGAAGCCAGGGGTTCCGGGTCTCCCTCGTGGTACAGGGGCCCAAGCACCGCGGCGGGTTCCACTGCTTTCTCAGGCCATTAGCAGCATCAGGAACACAAACAGGTGCTGATGGGAGCCGTTCTGAGCTCCCCCCCCCACCTCCCCGGCCTGTGGAAAATTTGCTCTCCCGCCCTCCCAAAGCGAAGTCTAATGGACGTTCAAGCAATGGACAGTTCCTGACGACGGCTGTGGCGAAAGGATGCTGGTTCTCGGTGTCGGAAGCGGCTTTCAACTCCAGCAGAGGCCTGAGCAGTTTGGGAAACCCGGGGTGGAAGATGACAGATTATGAAAGCAGGCAGACCTTGCTGAGCCGTCCAGAATGAGGCCCAAAGCAGTGCGAAGCCCAAATGTGCTGACACCTTGCAAATGGTCCGACATCGCTGGAGTCTCCAGGCCAACCCCCGTGGGAATGTTCCATGAATTAGGTCAGGGCTGGCATGGGCGTCCACAGACCTAGGAATCCCAGCCCCGTCTCACTACACATGTGATACTTGGAGACACCACTTGAATCTCCTTTTATCACTTTCTCATCTTTAAAAAAGGGGACACTTCTTCCTAGAGCCTTATGTTGTGCCATTTTCCCGCTTTTTAAACCGTCTTCTCCAACAGGCTACAAAAACTTCTGTGTCTTCCTGCAGGAAATAACGCGGTTAAAACTTTTTGCCACATTACTATGCAGAACGTTTTACAAAATATTTATTTGGAAGAGTTGGAGAGGAAGAGACAAAGATTTTCCATCTGTTGGTTCAGTCCCCAGATGGCCACAACGGCCCACACTGGGCCAGGCTTTGGGTCTCCCACGTGGGTAGCAGGGGCCCAAGGACTTGGGCCATCTTTCACTGCTTTCCCAGGCCATAGCAGAGAGCTGGATTGGAAGCGGAGCAGCCAGGACATGAACAGGCACCCACCCATACGGGATGCTGGCGCTGCACGCCAGCGCCACCCCCAGAACACTTTTCAAATGTTATCTCCAGTAGCCTTAGCATGATGAGTATTGGCTTCCTTACTTTACAAATGCTGTTATTTCAAGACCCTGGAGCTTGCTGAAGTCAAGGCTGATGATTTAACTTCAAATTTTTCAATCCACGGGAGCCTGCGCCTAGTGGGAAAGGATCTGGTGCTCCTTGCAGGGGTGTCTGGAAGTTAACAGATCGGAGACTGACTTTCCAGCCAAGAAACCTAGCAGATGCCACCTGAGCATCAAGATAATATTACCGATAATGGGGCCAGCGCCGCGGCTCACTAGGCTAACCCTCCGCCTGCGCGTGCCGGCACCCCGGGTTCTAGTCCCGGTTGGGGTGCCGGATTCTGTCCCGGTTGCCCCTCTTCCAGGCCAGCTCTCTGCTGTGGCCAGGGAGGGCAGTGGAGGATGGCCCAAGCGCTTGGGCCCTGCACCCCATGGGAGACCAGGAGAAGCACCTGGCTCCCGGCTTCGGATCAGTGTGATCAGTGTGGTGCGCCAGCCGCAGCGGCCATTTAAGGCGTGAACCAACGGAAGGCAGACTTTTCTAACTCTGTCAAAAAAAAAAAAAATGACTGATAATGGGAAGAGCTAAGGGCACATCACCTCCTCATTGTTTTTCACAAAATTCAAGAGCCTTATAATGAGGAATGTAGTTAAACTCAATTTGAAGGATATTTTACAAGGCATCTGATCAGTGCTCAAAAATCTGAAGGTCAGGTGGGCGACTGACACAGCAGTTAAGATGTTGACCGAGATGCCTGAATCCCACATTGGAGTGCATTGGGTTTCAGCTCCAGCTCTAATGCCACTTCTGGCTTCCTGCTCATGTGTACACTGGGAGGCAGTATGTGATGGCTCAAGGAGTTGGGTCCCTGCCACCCACGTTGGGGAAGCTGGTAGAGTTCCTGGCTCCAGGCTTTGGCCTGGCCTAGCCCTGGCTGTTGCTGGCACTTGGAAAGTGAAGAAGCAGATGGGAGATATTTCTCTGCTTTTCAAATAAATAAAATAATCTAAAGGCCATTAAAGACAAGGGATGAATGAGGAGCTGTCATAGACTGGAAGAAACCTTATAAAGAAAAAAGAAAAATATCATTTGGTGGAAAAACTGGTGAAATCTGAATAAGGACTGTAGTTCAGTGTAATTTTACCAGTGTTAATGTACCAGTTCTGATAACTGTACCACCACTATGTGGGATGTTACCGTTGGAGAAAGCTGGGTGAAGCAGGAGTTCTGCAAAAATTATTTCAAAATAAAACTTTGTAGACTTGGATACAAAGGACTGATTATCAAATGCTGGAAACATCAGGAACTCGTTTAGCAAGGGAAGAAGTGCTGCAGTGACTGGACCCCAAAACATCCTAGAAGACAGGCCCAGGACGATCACTGCTACCGTGCACCTGCAGAACCAGACCCTACGAAAGAGCACAATTCCAGAAGCAGAAAAGACAATGTTGAAGTTATGTGCCTGGAGCCAAAATGAAGGTGTACAGGCAGCTGGAGGTAGGACTAACAACCTTGACTGTCAGACTTACAAGTTAATGGAGTTTAGTCTGTGGTGACCTAAGAATTTAAGCAGAGGAGAGGCCTGAGATCTATTCCACAGATCATTCTGAAGCAGGAGAGAAGACGGGACTGGAGGGCATTCGGAAACGGAAACACTAAAGACAGGAGGCTGTTATGCTGAAAGAAGTCAGGGATGAAGGACATGGGGCAGCGGGGCAGCTCTGAGGCAGGGTTTTCACAACAGTTTGAGACAGCATTTGGAGACCAATTAGAAGGGGTGGCCGAATTAGTCACAGAAGACAGGACTGTGGTATCTGAGTAGCAGTGCAGCGAAACAATTAAGATGCGGGCTCTGAAGTCAAGACAATCCTAGATTCCAGTCTGTACACTTTCCATTTCAAAGCAGCAGACATTATTCAGTCGCTTTCAGCCTCTATTTTACCTGTACAATAGAGACAATCATTCCTCTCAGAGTGGCTAGAAAAGCTAAATAACAGGGCATGTAGTGTACATACATAGTGATAAATGTTGACAGTTTTGGGACCAAATGAATAAGGTGTGGCATTGCTTGCTATGACAGGGAAGACAAATAGAAAAGATGTGAGGGGCTAGTGCTGTGGCTTAGTGGGTTAAAGCCATGGCCTGCAGTGCCGGCATCCCATATGGGTACCAATTTAAGTCCATTTAAGTCCTGGCTGCTCTGCTTCCGAACTAGCTCTCTGCTATGGCCTGGAAAAGCAGAAGATGGCCCAAGTCCTTGGGCCCCTGCACCCGTGTGGGAGACACAGCTCTGGCCACTGTAGCCATCTGGGGAGTGAACCAGCGGATGGAAGACCTCTCTCTCCCTCTGCCTCTGCCTTTCAAATAAATTAAGAAAAAAAAAAAAAAGAGAGATGTGAGTCAGAAATGAAGAAAAACAGCAGTACGGCTGTTTTCAGTGAACTGCAGGTGCAACTGCACATTCTTAAGGTCCTGCCCAAAAGAAGCCCTTCAGACACAACTGAAATGAGCTGGGTGTGATGGCAGCTCCTGCTCTGGAGTTGTGCGATGTGAGACTTTTTTTTTTTAAAGATTTATTTATGTATTTGAAAGAGTTGCACAGAGAGAGCGAGCACTTCCATTTGCTGGCTTGGTCAGGCTGAAGCCAGGAGCCTGGAACTCCATCTGGTCTTCCATATTGGTGGTGTGGTCACAGGCACTTGGGCAATCCTCCACTGCTTTCCCCAGGCATATCAGCAGGTACGTGGATCGGAAGTGAAGTATGGGGCTGGCGCTGCGGCTCACTTGGTTAATCCTCCACCTGCGGTGCCGGCATCCCACATGAGCGCTGGTTCTAGTTCTGGTTGCTCCTTTTCCAGTCCAGCTGTTTGCTGTGGCCCGGGAGGGCAGTGGAGGATGGCCCAAGAGCTTGGGCCCCTGAACCCACATGGGAGACCAGGAAGAAGCACCTGGCTTCTGGCTTCGGATCGGCGCAGCGCTGGCCGTTGCGGCCATTGAGGAGTGAACCAACGGAAGGAAGACCTTTCTGTCTAACTCTACCTGTCAAAAAAAAAAAAAAAAAAAAAAAAAAAAAAGCCGGTGCCGCGGCTCACTAGGCTAATCCTCCGCCTAGCGGCGCCGGCACACTGGGTTCTAGTCCCAGTCGGGGCGCCGGATTCTGTCCCGGTTGCCCCTCTTCCAGGCCAGCTCTCTGCTGTGGCCAGGGAGTGCAGTGGAGGATGGCCCAGGTGCTTGGGCCCTGCACCCCATGGGAGACCAGGAAAAGCACCTGGCTCCTGGCTCCTGCCATCGGATCAGCGCAGTGCGCCGGCCGCAGCGCGCCAGCTGCGGTGGCCATTGGAGGGTGAACCAACGGCAAAGGAAGACCTTTCTCTCTGTCTCTCTCTCTCACTGTCCACTCTGCCTGTCCAAAAAAAAAAAAAAAAAGTGAAGTAGCCAGGACTCAAATGGGGACTTGAGTAAAGGATGCATCGCAGGCAGTGGCTTTACCCTCTCAGGCCCAAGGCTGGCCTCAAGATAAGTCTTCTTAAAAATTGGGTGAGAGTAGGCCGACGCCGCGGCTCACTAGGCTAATCCTCCGCCTAGCGGCGCCGGCACACCGGGTTCTAGTCCCGTTTGGGGTGCCGGATTCTGTCCCGGTTGCCCCTCTTCCAGGCCAGCTCTGCTCTGGCCAGGGAGTGCAGTGGAGGATGGCCCAGGTGCTTGGGCCCTGCATCCCATGGGAGACCAGGAAAAGCACCTGGCTCCTGGCTCCTGCCATCGGATCAGCGCGGTGCGCCGGCCGCAGCGCGCCAGCCACGGCGGCCATTGGAGGGTGAACCAATGGCAAAGGAAGACCTTTCTCTCTGTCTCTCTGTCCACTCTGTCAAAAAAAAAAAATAAATAAATAAAAATAAATAAAATAAAATTGGGTGAGAGTAGAGGACTGGGGGAAGGTGGCCAGTTATATCCTGTGTTGGGAGTACAGTGCCTGGGTTCAAGTCCCAGCTCTACTCCCAATTCCAGTTTCCTGCTAATGTACACCCTGGGAGGCGGTAGGTGATAATTCAAGTTCTTAGGCCTCTGCCACCCACCTATCAGACCTGGAGTTCCTGGCTCCTGACTTCAGCCTGGCTCAGTCCCAGCCAATGCTGGCATTTGGGCCAGCCAATGCTGGCATTTGGGAAATAAACCAGTGGATGGGAGCTCTGTTTGTCAAACTCAATTCCTATAGCCTTTCTCCATGGAGCCCATTTTAAAGGAAAGCATGATCATCTGGGTGTTCTCATAGGAAAAAAGGTCTACTGAAGTTGGTGAGCAGACCAGCCTGCTGAGAACAGCCAGTCATAGTAGCTAGCTAGTGGGTTCCTAACAGCACTCACAGTTGGAGGCATTTGGCATAGCAGTTAGGAGGCCATCTGGGACACCCACATCCCATAAACAGAGTGCCTGGCTGGGTTCAAATCTTGTTTTCTTTTTCCAATTCCAGCTTCCTGCTGATGTGTCCTGGGAGGCAGTAGATGATGACCCAAGTTCTTGGGTTCCTGACACTCATGTGGGAGACCCAGATTGAGTTCCAGGTCACTTCAGCCTGGCCCAGTCCTGGCAGTTTCAGGAATTTGGAGAGTGAACCAGCAGATGGAAGATCTTTTGCTCAGTTTCAAATAAATTTAAAAAAAGTTATTCAAATAGAAGCTTTATGTTTGTCAATGGCCCCTGCAGATGTATTCATCCTCAACACAGATACCAAATTCAATTTCACCTGAGTATCTCTTTCTAGTTTTTCTACTCCACAGAACAGGCTGTAACTTGCCACTTAGAATAGCAAGCAGAGAAAGTTTAATAGGAGTCAATCACAGAGAAGGATTCTCTGCAGGTGAGGAAAACCTTCTTACCCAAGACTAACAGAAAAGTGTGCAAATGAGGGACCAAACCAGTTTAATTATAAACAAAGTCTTACATCTTTTAAGGAAAGGCAAACGAACCAATCCCCTGAAGGAACTTTATAAAAGCACCTGGCTCTCCGTGATAGTTGCAGGGTTACCTGAGTATCTGAAAACAGTTCAAGAAAATAAAGGTACTCCAATACAGTAATATACAATCCAGTGCACTATTCCCTGTTTTTAGTTAATGAAAACATATAACAAACAATAGTGTAAATAACTCGAAGAGAAAAGGGCATGGGGTGGGGGGGGCTGGAGATACCAACACTACTGAGCAGAAGTCACCCCTAGAGGAGTGAAGAAGGATGGAGTTACAACCAAACAAAGACAGGAATACACACTGAGGAGAGGTGTAATTCCACGAGTCACCCTTGATAACACTGCAGATTATTAACCAAATCAATAAAAAGCAGTACAGTGAGCTTGACTGAAATAGTTCATTTAGGATGAGACCTTTGTGGGTAGCTGAGTTATACTTCATTAAAATTTCTGATGAAGCAACTTTGGCGTGTCAATCTCTTGATGAAAATCAGCAGCTGAATTTTAAATAGAGTTATTGTAAGTATTATGAAATTGGATTCTTCTGCACTGGCATGAGGCCATAAAAGACAGCAGAAAATCATTATTATGAGTTACTAGATCAGTTTTAAACCACTCCATTTGATGAAACAAGTGAGGTCCTTCCCTCCTGACCCAGGCTGTGGATCGCTATTTTCCCCAAACCCTGAAAAGAGCAGAAAAATAAGGCAATTGCTCATTTACCTTGTTTTTATTTCAATGTAACATGCAGTAAAAAAATTAACAGGATTTATTAGCATTTACAATGCTTACAAAGAAAAAGGACTTTTAAAAGCAATTTAGTTCAGATTTAAGAAAAGCTCTAATTAAACACTTACAATAAATCTATTTCCAAATGTTCAGTTTGGACCAAAATTTAATTTATGTCTGCTGTCTATTTGCAGAATTTTTATATAACCTCTGATTCTTGGGATATCCAGCCCCCATTTTCCTAACACAGCAGGGAAGACATATACATGTGGCCACTTAAATTAAAGGAAGATATGGAGTAGGGGAGATCCCAGGCTGCAAAAATATATACAAGCATTTACCTTTTCCAGAACTAAACATTTCTTCCATAAAAATATTAAATAGCCAAGCCCTATAGAACTAGGGCCAGGACTACTTCAAATATAGCTATTCTGTATTTTAAAAATATAGGGCAGAAAGCCTTTTGGGTAATATTTATACATTTTCACACAATATTTCTAGGTCCCTAAGTGAATCATGAAGCATTATGCAGAACCAAAAAAAGGTCTATTTTTTACATTATCTCTTAATTTAATCTCATAAATCTCTAGTAAATATTGCAGGAACTACATTTCAATATGAGAATTCACCTCAATAGGAAGTCTTAATAGAAGGCTTAATCTCCATAGCCACATATTATCAAAGTTCAGACTTATATAATGAATGGGTAGTTGGCAGACATTCGTTCTGTAAGACGAAGCAACAGCATTATTTCCCTTACCAAAAAAAAAAAGGCAGAAAGTCCCTGTTTTGGAAACAACCAGGACTTTTCGACTTTTAGTATACCCTACTATTTTTCCTGGGGTATGTAAAATAAAAAACAAAGAATGTTGGGGAGAGCCTAATCTTCCTATTACACTGAGAATTTCTGAATCAGGCAACCCTTTCACTCATGTAAGTCTCTGCTTTACGATGGCAGTGTCTTGGAGACAGATACACAAGTTAAAAAATGCTTTTGTGGTTGTTCTAGTTTGTAAACAGGAAGAGCAGATAGGAATAAAAATAATTCTTCTTTCTATATGGAATGGGAGCCTACTACTCTCCGCTTATTTTTAGCTTAATGCTGCTTGTTCATGCTCTCACACTGAAACATACCAGCGTCTCTGTTACATGAGTTAGAAGGCTGTCCTCAGGGTTCAGCTAGTACAAGGACTGCTGGCCAATAAAGTCAAATTTATCACAGCAGCCTTCTTAACTGTCTACGGTAGGCCAAGTTCAAAGAATTAACTATGTAGATGTTCAAAGTGCATTAATCAGTTACTAACGGAGCAGTCTAAAATTAAATAGTCATGGGAAAAAAGGAAAATCTGCTCAATTTTTGTGGGTGAAAAGGATATTACAGATGAGGGATATTAATCCAATACAGTACAATGTAAAGAATGGCAATGGTTACTCCACCATGTATCAACGAAATGATAAATCTAAAGACTTCTAATTCATGCAGAGAATATAATTCTGTGGTTACTAGATGTTACCACCTTCTCTTTAGCCAGTACCACAGTTCTTCCTCCTAAATGAAAATATAATTTAGAAGCTGTTTCATTGACCTCTGATTGGACTAGAAAAGTACTCTGGTTACAATTTGAACTCCTTAGCAATAATTAAACATAATTGAAGTTGTTGGATTAAAATAAAATTGTAAGATACAAATATCATCAATGATGGTCTTAGATGAATTCAGCTAGATGAATTCCAATTCTAGATTAACTTTTAGAAACAGTGAAGGAACCATGGTGTCAATATTGTTTGCAAAGTTTAGTATTTTCAAGGCAATTAAAACAATCAAAGTTCCAAATGAGGAGAGGTGTGAAGTCCTTTGTGGGCGAGGAGCAGCTTTTCCCTGAAGTCACACAGACAAAGCTACTCTGTAGAAGAGATGGAAGAGTCTTGCATCACTTCCAGGAATAACATCAAAATGATGCACGGATTCATGCTCCAGAAAGGAAAAACAGTCAGGCCAGGCTGAAATGAGAGGAAGAGCACAAGCTCTAGGTCTGTTCACATCCCCAGAAACTGGGCCAAGCCTGTGTTTTTAACATATACCTCTTATCAAGAGGCTTAACAGGAAGATCTTGTATATTGCTGTTACTAAGGGACTTCCCGGCATATCTGCAGAATCTCAAAAATACAAAACCCTACTCCCAAGTGAGACTTCTGACACAAATATAGAATTGTTAAGGAAACAATCTAGTAGAATAAGACAGGGCAGATTTCATTGCTGTTAAATCTCATGTTAAGTAAGGTTTCACAAGTCATTTGCAGATAAGATTTCTGGAAGTGCTGGAGAGAAATCCAGAATCACTGGGAGACAAATTTACTTATACTCAGTAACTCTCTAAAGTCACAGTCCAACTTTACAACAAGATGTGCAACAAGCAGAGAAGGAAAAGGACAAGCATTGCAAGTAAGTTCTTATCCTTTGGTGGTACAAGTTCTCAGAAGTTACTCTTGCCCGAATCCTTCTGTTTCTTCAATGGCAAACAACAGCTTTTCCTTCAGTTGCTCATAGCTCTTGTAGGGTGGCAGGTCCAGGCGGTTAAAACTGGGAAAAAAAAAAAATTTTGTAAGCTTGAGAAAAGGAAATATACAAAGAATCACATGGGCAGTGTAGTAAAGCAAACACTGGTTTTAATTTCACTTATTTTCATTTGAAAGGAAGAAAGAGAGAGAGAAAAGAGGGAGAGATCTTTCACTTAGTAATTTACTCCCAAAAAGCTCACCAGAGTCAGGACTGGGTCAGGCTGACACCAACAGCCCAGAACTCCATCAAGGTCTCTCATATAAGTGTAGGTGTCAGGGACCCAAGCACTTGAGCCATTACCTGCCATCACCATCACACATCCCAGAGAGTGTATTAGCAAGAAACAGAGGAGCCAGGACTTGAACCAGGCCCTCTGATACAGGATGACTTAACCAAAGCACCAAATGCCTGCCACACAACACTGATTTTAAAGTCAGGCAAAACTGGGTTCAAATTCCAGCTCTGTCACCAGGTCTTTAAGCAAGTGCTCCCTAACTTACCAAGTCTCAGTTTCTGGTCTGCGAGAATGAGAGTAACAACAGTTATCTCTCAGAGGCAAGAAACAAGCACTCAGCACAGCACCAGGTGCTCCTCACATACTAAAATGCCCTCATTCACTCTGATCTTCCTCAGCGATCAGCAGATGTTCTCTGGAAAGGACCAGAGAGTAACTGTGGGCCATAGGGTCTCTTATCAAAATTTAAATTATACCCCTTTTCTAATAAAGATACTTATTTATTTATTTATTTGAAAGGCAGAGTTAGAGAAAGGTCTTCCATTCTCCGGTTCACTCCCCAGATGGAAGTGGAGCAGTTGGGACTCAAACCAGTGCCCATGTGGGATGCTGGCACTGCAGACAGTGGCTTTTACTTGCTACACCACAGTGCCAGCCCCTAAATTATACCTTTTTAAGAATAGGAAACTATTTTCTGCTCTAATATTCTATTCCCATTGAATTTCTCTGTCCTACTGGTGGCTGTGTTTTTTTTAAGATTTATTTTATAGTAAAAAAATAAAAAAAAAAGGCTTATTTTATTTGAAAGCAGAGTGACAGAGAGGGAGAAAGTCAGAAAGAGATCTTCCATCTGCTGGTTCATTTCTCAAATGGCCACAACAGCTTGGTCTGGGCCAGGCCAAAGCTAGGAGCCTGGAACTCCATCCAGATCTCCCATGTGGATGGCTGCTTTCTCAGGCACATCAGAAGGGAGTAGAATGGGAAGAGCAGCGGGGACTTGAATCAGTGCTCCAGTATGTCACAGTGTCACAGGCAGAGGCTAAACCCACTGTGCCACAATGCCAGCCCCAGTTGTGAGTTTTTAAAAGGACATCTTGTAATATGGGGGCCTATCAGTATCATTATAATACATAATGAATCTGTCCCAAAGCCTTGTCCTCATATATTTTTAGGATAAGGTTTAGAAAAATCTTTGCCATTGGGCGGGCGCTGCAGCTCAATAGCCTAATCCTCCGCCTCGCGGCGCCGGCACACTGCGTTCTAGTCCCAGTCCGGTTGCCGGATTCTGTACCAGTTGCCCCTCTTCCAGGCCAGCTCTCTGCTGTAGCCTGGCAGTGCAGTGGAGGATGGCCCAAGTGCTTGGGCCCTGCACCCCATGGGAGACCAGGAGAGGCACCTGGCTCCTGGCTTCGGATCAGAGCAGTGCACCGCAAACGGCAAAAGGAAGACCTTTCTGTCTCTCTCTCTCTGTCCACTCTGCCTGTCAAAAAAAAAAAAAAAAAAAAAAAAAAGAGGCAGCCAATGGAGGGTGAAAAATCTTTGCCATAGGGGAAAAAAAAAATGCTGCCATGAAAAGAAATGTACATCTAGTGTTAGTTCTTGCAAATGGAAACATGCATCCTGACAAAGTAATGAGGCTGGTTTACAGGTGTACCTGAGCTAAGTTGTTTGCAACACTATAACTGCAGCACAGCAAAGTCTGTTCCAAGTTGGAAAATAAGGGATTAAAGGTGAGATCAAAATGTGTCTAAGAGGAAAATGCAGATATTAATTGTATTTCTATACACTAGCAATCAACAATCAAAAAATGAAATTAACAATCCCAGGGGCAGCTGTCTGACAGAGGTGAGGAAGCCACTTGGCTGGTGTTGTAACACAGCAGGTTAAGCTGCCACCTAGGACACTGGCATCCCATATGGAAGCACTGGTTTGAGTTCCAGTTGCTCTGCTTCCCACTGAGCTACCTGCTAATGCACCTGGGAAAGCAGGGAGACCCGGATGGAGTTCTAGGCTCCTGGCTTTGGTCTGGCCCAGTCCTGGGGAGTGAATGCAGCCATTTGGGGAGTGAATCAGCAGATCAAAGATCTCTCTACCCCCTGCCTTTCAATTAATTAATTAATTAAAAGAAGAAGAAGAAGAAGAGCAACAACTCCTGCTGCTGCTTGGGATGCCTGCATCTCGTATCAGAGTGCCCGGTGATGGCGGGGGTGGGGGGGTGGGGGTGGGGGTGTTCAAGTCCCAGCTCTGCTCCTGATTCCAGCTCCCTGCTACTGCACATCCTGGGAGGCAGTGGTGATGGCGCAAGTAATTGTATCTCTGCCATCCACTGAGAGATCCAGATTGAGTTCCTAGCTCCTGGCTTCAAGCTGATATAGGAATCTGGGGAGTGAACCAGTGGATTGGAGATCGCTGTCTCTTCCTTTCGAATTAAAAAAAAAAAATCCACTTATAATAGCATCAAAAAGAATGCTAAATAAATTTAAGAAAAAAAGTGTTAAGACTTACACAATGAAAACTATAAAACATTGTTAAAATAGATGTGAAAATGGAAAGACATCCACATTCATGGATCAGAAGACTTCATATTTGTTAGATGAGGGAATTTTTTTTTTTAATTTTTTTTGACAGGCAGAGTGGACAGTGAGAGAGAGAAAGAGACAGAGAGAAAGGTCTTCCTTTGCTGTTGGTTTACCCTCCAATGGCCGCCGCGGCCGGCACACTGCGGCCGGCACACCGCGCTGATCCGAAGGCGGGAGCCAGGTGCTTCTCCTGGTCTCCCATGGGGTGCAGGGCCCAAGCACTTGGGCCATCCTCCACTGCACACCCAGGCCACAGCAGAGAGCTGGACTGGAAGAGGGGCAACCGGGACAGAATCCGGCGCCCCGACCGGGACTAGAACGCGGTGTGCTGGCGCTGCTAGGTGGAGGATTAGCCTAGTGAGCCACGGCGCCGGCCGACAATATTCTCTTAATTGATCTACCATTTCATACAAAAATCCCAACTG